TTAGTTAAAAAAAAAAAAAAAAAAAAAATTATTTTTATTATCTTTTATTTTTATACTCTTTGCGGTTGTACACTGATATATTAGCTCGGTTAAAATGTCTATGAATTTGTCATAAGCTAGTGATGGCTTGTTAAGCGAGAGTACCATATTTCATTGTGTTCTTGACAATTAGTCAAGAAACGCTTCATCATCAAATGTTTTAATCAGTGGTCTCAAACTTTTTTGGTGACGGAACCTTTTTGAAAAACGAAATATTTGACGGGGCCTTAAAGACATTTCTAAAAAAAAGGTCCTCCGAGCAAAATCCTCTTTGTTCTAACCTCTAGCCAGGTCCCTCCTTTTTCTTCGCGGAGCCCCCTCACAAAAAAAGTCCCAAAATTATATCCTCTTTCCTCTTAGTGACTTCTAAAAAAAAGGTACTCAAGCCAAGTCCTTTTGTAGCAATAGTACTGCCTTTTTTTTATTGTGACTATTATTTTCTTCGTGGAGCCCACACAAAGGCTTTGCTGAGCCTCAGGACTCCTCGGACCACATTTTGAGTAACGCTGCTTTATATGTTATGTTTTTTTAGATTAACGGTTATATTTATGGACAAATAAACCGCAAGGTAATCTGTTATATTGGTGTTAATTACTGAGGCGTTGTATTCAACTTTATTGGAAGTTGATTTCGATCTCACAAATATGTGATCTAGACAAGACTGAGTATGCGATGTAATTCTTGTATAAATATTAATGTATGAAGAGAATCCATGAGACAAATAGTTATTACTAAATAGTGTCGTCTATGTCAAAGTTTAAATCTACTATAATAATATCATAATCTGTTTTATCTACGTTAGAAATGAAATTATCTAGATCCTCTATGAATAAATTTTCTTTTGTGGAAGTTAATATATTGAAAAAAAATTTATCCTTATTAAAGGTTAAGCTTGATAAAGTTACTTTGTTTAAAGGTAAGATTGTGTGCAAGATGTTAAAATTAATTTTACTATTAATAAAAATTAACAAGCCATCGTTTTGGTTTAAATTACTGTTATTAATAATAGTGAGAAACCCAGGTATCATAAAATCAGAGGTACAGTGAATAAAGCGAGTTTTACCAAGAGCTATTACATCAATATCTTTACTTAAATTATCCGATGTTAAAAATATTAAAAAATCACTTCTTATATTGTAGTGTAAAATGCTAAGAAAGGTACTGTTCTTTAAGAGGTCAACTTTTTTAATGTTCTATGTCTTCCAATTTAATTTTTTGATCTTCAATAATTTCATTTTCGAGTTCATTTAAAATATTTTCTTCGTCTGTATCCATTCATTTTTTTATAATTTAAAAGAAGTCTATTTGGATGATTCGGTATAGAAAAGTTCATTATTGCTGTATTTATTTTATAAATTATAATTAGTTTTGCTTTCAAGAACAGCAGTGTGGTAGGCCAGGGTAGGACACTCGAATATGATACCTGTGATTGACTTCATATTTCGTCTTATATTTTTGGTTTGATATTGTACAGTTTTTACACGTGGCAATTTGATTATTGCATTGACCTATGTGATGTTCTTCTGAGCAAATGGCACAAATGATTTTAAATGAACAATTGTCCTTCTTGTGATAAAAGCCTTGGCAATTGAAAGACTAGAAAGAAGCTTTGTATAAATAGCTGACTTAATAGCAACGTTACTTCCACAGAGCTATAAGTGACCCAGATCTGACTTTTTACGGGATAAATAAGGTAACAAAGTCTTCTCAAAAACGCAAATTGTCGCATAAATACGATACTATGGTTTACAAAAAAAAGTAATCTAAACCAGTATTCCATTAATTTGTCACACGATAAAGCACAATAAGTAAAACAAATCCACCAATTCGAGTTTACTGACAAATTTATACAAATCAATGTGTTCCTGTTCACTAAAAAATCGATAACATTTCACGAGGCGATAGAGGTCCAAATTAATTTCACATTTAAAACATAAAACAACTTTCTCTTAGTAGAAATTGTTTTTTAATGTTATGTCAAATTATAAACAAAGTACCTAAGTTAAATTCACAGCACATTTTTTTTCTAATCTGTTTCCATTCCTGAACCTTCTGAATCTTCTTCATCCTCATCGTCATCTTTACTTTCCTCTTCTTCATCCTCATCGTCATCTTTACTTTCCTCTTCTTCATCCTCATTCTCTGAATCTGATCCCAACCACTCTGCCTTTAAAATATCATCAGTAATAATAGTATTCCATTCATCGTAAGTTTTTTAAATCTAAAGAATAAAAGTCACTAAAAGTAATTTGTTTGTCACCATCCTCAAACATTCCTCCATACAAGTACAAGATTCCATGTTTGATGGCCAAACCACAATTCATTTTTGGAGATGGTTGAAATAAAATGGTTAAATCTTGTTTATCAAATATGGCATTTGATTTGGAACAAGTAGGTGCATCATCTGATATTGTAGTTTATTCTATTTTTTCTTCAATTTTTTCTACTTCCATTTCTTCCTTCTTCTGCATTTTTTTTATTTCTTCTTCCAGTCTTATAACTTTTTCTTTCTTTCCACTGAGAGTCACATTATTTCAATTTAATTTCTCTAAATCCAATTGATAAAAATAATTTAAAAAGTTCTCATATGTATATGCAGTTAAATTATTGATTGTGGATACAATTGGCAATCCCGCTGGAAATAATTGAAAATTGCCTTTTCCAACCTAAATTAATAATATCTTCTACATACACTGATTGCGTCATTTGAAAGAGGCTATCAGTATGAGAGGGTCTTTGAAACGCTTTTGGGTCGAAGCTACTGACCCGCTCTAGTTTTAATGCGGCGTGTTGTCATCATTTGTAGAGAGTCTTGGCCGTTTGTACGAACTGCGTACATGTCTCAGTTCTCCGTAATTCCAGCACTTGATAGTCTTCGTCTTTATCTTTTTGACAGCAAAACTCTTTATTATGTTAACTAGTTGGTCGAGTTTATCTTCCACGTTTTCTTCTTTTACAGTCCTCACTTTACTGAATCCTCCAGAAGCCAGCGTAGCTGTCTCATACTCTAGAACAGTGGACAATATATCAACCAATGTTTTGTGACGGGCTAAGCATAGTGTTTTCTGCATCTTGTGATCACGGAGTCCATCAACAAATGTTTGGACTGCCAAACATTCCATCATGTTTTCTGTAGTTGATTGGTAAGCGAACCATACCAACCTGGCAATATCTTCGTATTCTTGAAGAGTCTTGTTTCGTTTCTGTTTGCGATTATTTAGCTGTGATTGATACAAAAAATGTTTTAAGTGTTCGTGGCCATATTGCATGTTTAGTCTGTTTTTGAGCTGTTCAAATTCATCTGTCTCTTCCACGGGTATAGTCTGAAGGACATCTAAAGCGTCTCCGCGAAGGACGATGATCAAATTTACTGCTATTGCAAAGTGTTAAGGGAATTGGTCCATGATATCTTCCCGAGGAGTTTACAGCTCCTTCCAATTTCAACTTTGATTCCACCTCATGGTACTTTATTTCACCGTCCTTGGCCTGTCTTATATGTTCCATTTCTTCTATCTTCTTTTCCATCTCTTCTACAGAAGACATTTTGTTTTCCACATCAGCAGATATTTCAGTTTTTAGAGAAGACAGAAGAAATGTAATCTTTCGATAAAGAGATTTTGTTTTCTAAATCTGAAGACATTTCAAAAGACACCTTTTCTTCTAAGGAAGAAATATCAGATAAAACTTCACTTTCTAAGACAGTAATGTCAGAAGGCACTTTAGTTTTCAAGGAAGTAATGTCAAAAGAAACTTCAGTTTCTAAGTAGAAAAAATCATTTTTTACAGAGGAAACATCAGAAGATACTTTAGTCTTTAATGAAGAAATGTTAGAGGAAATATCGGTTTTCACAGAGGTCATCTTACTTTCGATATCGGAAGAAATTATAGCAGAAGATGCATCATCCGAAAATAAATATATTTCCGGATCCAAACCTTCACTTTTTATTGTTTCTTTAAGACGTTCTGCTAGCTCTGCTTTCTTCTCTGTCGTCTCCAGATCACGGTATTCTAATTCCCGACGTAATTCAGATACTTTTAAATTACACAGTTTTTAAGCCATTTTTGTGTAGAATTTCGGGTCTTTCGTAAGAGAGACCAGTTATGTTTTATAGCGATCTGGTTTCGAAGTCGGAACTTCTTAAAACCGCCAATAAATTCTCCGCCACTCCAGCAACCAGTAGAAATTTTAATCCCCTATTTACAGTCAATCATGAGGCAACGCTAGCCCTTTTTCCGTCACTGCTTCACCTGTAGTAGACCGCATTGCCTTTGAAAATAATCTTCTAATCGAGAAACGACACCATTCACTGGTCTAACACCGGAACACTCTGCGCTGACCCCTTTTTTATTTATCGTGAAGAAAATAAAAATTTAAAGAGAAAAAAGTGACTTAAGTTCAGTTGTTATAAACAAACCCTTCACGACCGGTCAATAAGGGTTTGACACATGCTAGTTAGTGGTAGGCACACCTATATCTTCTGAAAGTGCTCGCCATTTTTTTCACATTCTCGATCACGCAAATGTTCGTAGTTAAATAAATAATTCAATAATTAATTGCACTACTTTTGTACATGATTTGCTTAGTCAGTCAGCATGGGGGTTCGTTACTCCCCCATATACCAATCATACACCCATTTTATCAACAATCCCGATGACGTGTTGTCGAGTGTCCTAGGCTATTAGACTATAATGTTCGGTATTGTTTTCAAAATAAAGATTTTTGAGTCCAGCAAATATTTTTTTGGCGTTTCTACCATTTTTCACCTAATTTGCAACTGTCTTTTTTTTATTTATGTACATCTTTTTTTATTAGATCAGTAATGGTTCACAAATGTTAACAAATTTAATACCAACTAGTTTTTTTAGTCATGTAGAGTCAATTATCTCTGTTATTTTTTATCTCTAACCATTGGGATGTAAAAGAGTGCCAATATTGTTAATTTCACTATTGTAATTTAAAGGGTACTGAGTGTTCAAGACGGAAATGTTCTTTTAACCTTAAAATCGAGCCAGGTAGACTCGGAAGAATGTCTAACTAAATTAGAACAGGCCAAGAGAGGAGATCGTTTCCCGGGAGTGATTATTTCAACCAAACCTACAGGAGCGTTTGTTGTTTTTTATGGTAATGTCAATGGATGGATCAGCAAAAAATATTTGGATGAACAGGACGACGATCAGAAGCCAGATCCTCAACAGTTTTTCTTCAGAGGACAAGTTGTAAGTTTTATAAATTTAGGTTTTATGGTTTGAGCTTCTGTGTTAATTTTATTTATATTTTTAGGTGAATCCGTGGGTATTGGGCGTCAAAAATGATAAAGTCATACTGTCTCTACGTCAGCCTAAAGATTACGAAACGTTCGGAGCTCTAGCGGTAGGCCAAAAAATTAACGGAGTAGTTAGCGACATAAAGAAAGATAAAATATTTGTTAAAACGTTAAGAGGAAAACCTGTAGGAATTGTACCTGTAAATCATCTTAGTAGCAATTTATCTTTGTGTCCAATCGTTTTAAGTAAGTACATTTTTTATTAATAATAATAAATCAGCTTTATTCATCAAAAACATTATTACAAGTTGATGAAAGGGTGTAGCATCAGCTAATTGCTGTTTTTCAGCCATACCTTGTACAAAAATATAAAGAAAATACTACTATAGTCATGTATTCAGAGTTGACAAATAAAAAGAAAAGAATGTAAAAAAAACAATTTCCGGAATATGTGTTAAACAATATTTTTAACTATGTACAAAAATTTTCCAAAACAAAAAAAAAAATAAAAATATGTGAAATACATAATATGATTGTTTCAAATAAGAAAAACAAAAGAACCCAAAAACCAGTGCCATCTATTTATGTTGTAGTTATTCGGTTTCTTTTTGAAATTTAAGATTGAAACATTTTTTAAACTGAGGCTCTAAACTATTATATAACTTGCAGGCCTGATAGGAGTAGCTTCTTTTAAATAATTGAGTATCATGCTTAGGTATATTCAAAAACAGAATTTTACTTGTGTTAAGTTATTTTTACTAAAATTTAATTTATTGTACAGGAAGGGTGGCTGCCCTGTTATAATTATTTTATGAATTTGGCACAAAGAATGGATTGTTCTCATAGTATCCAACTTAAACCAACCAATGTCATGTAGCTTATTTGTCCCCTATCAAATTTACGTAGCCCACTACAGAATCTAACACATGTATTTTGGATTCTTTGTAGTTTATTATTGAGATCATAAGCCAGTAAAGCGGAACCATATACTGAATCGCAATACCATAATTTTGAGAAAATAAGGCTTTCACAAAGTTTAATTTTAAGAGTGTAAGAAAGCGTATCTTTTTGAAAGTATAATCTTTTTATTGTACCATAGTAGTCGAGACAATGAAGCAGTAAAAAGGCCAAAAGTTCGGAATTTTTTAGACTAAGACAGATCGAAATGCGGTTTTTTGCATTCGCTTCCAAAAATATTTTGGAAAAAATGCCCTTACTTTTTATCTTATACAAACCGGAAATTGTATTGCTGCAGCCAAAAATGCATTCAAGAGACGGCTTTTGGAAGATTAAAGAACTTTGTAAATAAGAGTCAGAACTGGCCCATATCGGGTTGCCGGGGGGTTTTCGAGGTCGCTGATCACGATTATGATGTTTAAATTGACCCACAGCCGACTTGGAGCTCAGGAACGCCGATGAACGTCATCTCCGTGAAACTCTCAAAATTCATGCCGGGAAGGAGACACTCGGAGCGGGGGGTTTTTTGACTCGCTGAATGGCACCGGCGAACACCCCTCGGATACCTAGTATGCCGGAAACTGGACGTGGACGTCAAAAATAATCTCCGGCTAGATCTCCGAACTTTGCCGAGTGGCCTTTCACTTTTCTACCAACGCTCTAAACGCTTTTATGTAAGTATTCGCGATTCAAGCCAAGTGATACGTCCTCTGAAGGAAATTTGTAAAAGGTTGCTATAATTAGGATATCGTTCAGTGTTGCCAGAAGTAGCAAAATTTCGCTACGTCGTCGGATTTTAGCTCTTGAAGAAGTGGATAAGACCTTTTATTTAAAAATCAAAATTTGTGTATAGTAATATGTAATCATACTCTATATTTATTTAAGGATTTTTTTATAAAACCGATTTATTATATTATTTTTTTTTTAAATTCCAGTTCATTTATTAATTTTGTTTTGAAATCAGTTTATCATTTGGCAACATTGGCGTTCATGTTTATTGTTTACATTTTAATTTGTATCAATTACAATTCGAGTTTTTGCTTACTTTTTAGCTTTAAATTTGTTTATTTCTTATAGTATGTGATAGTGTTAATATTAAAAATGAAATCTGCGAAAAAGTCTCCAGTCTATATGGTGTTAATGTCAAAATCAAAACTGAAGTATTCATTATTTTCCAAGTGCAAGTCGTAAAATTTTGTTTTTTAGGATAAATGGATATCTACAAATTCACAATATTGAAATTTTGCAAAACTTTGCTTAGAATCAATTTATAATCTGATTTGTGACGGTTTTATTACCATTTACATGTATACAAAGTACTACATAATTTACATCATAATATAAGAATGAGTTTAGTAAGATTTTTAAATTAGTCCATCAATAATTTACGTTTGGTACCTGGAATGTCCTTTAAACCACATAATAAAACATGCCTTGGGTTTAGTAAATACATATTTCTAGATGTTCTTGTAGCAACCAATAGGTCAATATTTCCAACAAATTAAGTCATACACATGATAAATATTATATTTATAACGAGACTTAAAACTTAAATTAACACTAAATGAAACTCAAAAACACTATTACATTATCTAAAAACAGTTAAAAAAATCACAAATACAAAATCCACCCAAAACAAACACATGTAAATAAACAAACATCCTACTTATAGGTGACAAATGACAGGCGCGCGAAAATTAATTTGAATCGTGAATACACAGAAACTTTTTCCTAAGCAGTGTTGCCAGTCTATTACAATTGTACTAGATCTATTTAAGAATCTGGTACTCTAGTACACTCGATGCAAAATGTATTTTCTTTTTTTAGCCTGTTTCCATTTGGTGGGTAAAATATATTGTTGGGTTCTTCCTTGTTTGGGTTTTTGTGTTCGTTCTTGATAAAAGCTTTTTTTTTTTTTCAATGAACCAAACCATCACAATTCGAGAAATATGGTACAATTTATACAATCTAGTACATTTTTATGGAATCTGGTACATTTCTCAGACAAATCTGGTACATATTAAAAATATATTAAAAACTCATCTTTTTGTTTCCCTACTTTGTCGTTATCGTGTTAAACCAAATCAATATTATTTCGAATACACATTCACACGCTGAAAGAGAAAAATGGGGTTCTATTATTTTAAAAATTTACTGTTTGTAATCGTCCCCTTGTGTTTTTTTTTTAATTTTTTGAATTTTTAATGCACCCAAAGATAGAAGAAAATTAATTTCCAAAACATATGTAGTGCTGTGGTAAATGATTTAAAATAAAAACAATGACCGATTAAACCAAAGAAATTTTTATTTAAATAAAATTCTGTTGCGGTCAGGAAATTATCCTCAAATAAATTAAACTGTGGTAAAATTTTATATTGGTCAAATGGGCCGTACTTAAAAAAAATCTATTTAAAACATTACAATAGTTATACTAAAAACAAAAATAATTCTACAAATCATATTTTGGCTGAAAATCAATCGTTTATGCAAAAATTGTTTTACATTTTGAGAATAAAGGCATTAAATTAAACCAATAGATTTAAAAATTCAAATATCCTCTTAAGTGATCAATTAGATATTAATAACTCAGCCTAATTAAATCTCTTTACCTGTTCTTAGTTTTCTGTGAGATAATCCCGGTAATGATATCTTATTGGAATTTTATTAATATATTTCTCTTAAGTACCTACTTTAACTAATTAGTTTATTTTTTGTATATATATATATTAGAAATGTAAATGACTCACATTTGAAGAAGTTGTACTTAGAAACAATTGTCGTGCAATTTTTAATTTTTATTTCTTTAAATAAAAATGTGAAAATCTACCATGTTTGGTTTTTCTCATTTTAATAATATGCATTTTCATCAAGTTAAAGCCGAAAATATCAAGAAATTAAAATGAAATAGTATTAAATACTTACTTCTCCTGATAAAACATTGTAGTTAACTTTATATGAACGTTTCGACCACACTCCATCAACAATAACGGTAATCAGCCTATTGCCTTCTCTATCCACTTCACCAATATCTCTAGCTAATTGCAGTTCTTCTATTCCAGCCTCTTGCATCGCTTCCCAAGCTGCCTTATATACATTGTGTGAAATGATTTCATTATGAACAGCATACTGGCGATATGACATTTGAGGAATGTTTGTAATTGCCTGCTGTTCAACCATTTGCGAATGTCCACATCCTGTTGAAAGTGTCGCCAAGATCGCGGCGAAGTTTACATTCATTTCTGTACTTTCAGATTCTGTTAAAAATTGGATGGAGTAAAAATTTTTTTTTACTCCATCCACACATCCTACACTTCCACTCGAAAGTACTTATTAATCCTTTTTTGATTTCGCTAATTATGCCCATGTCCTTAAAACCACAACCAAAAGGAGAGTGATTGTCAAAAGAACATAGTTGCTTAAATAAGTAAGACATATCAACAATCCTTTTACCAATATTATGCATGTCAAATGTCTTATTTCAAATTTTTTCTTCCTTTTCCACTTCTAATTCTGAACCATATTCATCCTCGGGTTGATCTTTTATTCTAAAACAAATGAATTTTCGTTATTGACCTATTTCATTAAATAAAAAATTAAATTATCAGTTATACTTACGGATTATTTTCGATACTTTGTAGAATAGATCATCTAGAAGTACATGTTTTCGACAATTTGAACTTATTAGGTAGGTTCCTGCAAATAAAAAATAATAAATGTTATTGTTATATCTACAATAAATTAAACATTAATATTACGAATATTCCGAAACTCAATGTAATTTCTTTAGTAAAAACATAATTATATGAAAATGTGTGATACAATACCATGTTTTCAACAATTTGAACTTATTAGGTAGGTTTCTGCAAATAAAAAATAATAGCAGGTCAATATTAAAATCAGCAGCCAAAATAATGGTGTCATGGTTATAAGTTTTGCTAAAGTAGTTTCTAGCTCACTCAAGACATCGGGAATATTTGTTTTATGTTTGCGATATACAACTCCAAAACAAAAAATGTTATGTTCAATTTTACATTTAATCCATAGCTGTTTTAAGTTCTTTTTCATACATATTCATATTTTCATACATAATTATTTATCTTTAGACATTCAGTAGCATGGTTAAACTTTTTTATTGAATTTTTAGAGACTTTCAAGATTGGAGATAAATTAGATGATCTTGTATGTATAAACAATTCTAGTAAACCAAGATTGTTGTCGATTAGAGAATCTTTGGCGCTAAAAAGGTGTCCCAAATTGAAATTACTGAAATTTAAGAAACTCAGGCCCGGAATATTAGTAAGGTGTTCCTATTTATCAGCTTGTGAATTAGGAATATACGTTTTGCCCCTAATTCGAGATTATACCGACAAAATATTGATCAGAAAAAAGGTAAATATCATTTAACAACGAAAAATACTACACAATAATTCTTTTTTTTTTTTTCATATTTTAATTTTGTTCAGGATATTACCAAAAAAGGCAAAGCACTACCAACATTTGAACCACTTCAAAGTATAGTAACTAAAATCGTAAAAATTGATCATGAAACGAAGAAAATCCGATTGACAGCACAATTGACTGAAGTTTTCGACAACAGCGTAGAGGTTCGTAAATAAAAAGTAAAATTGTACAAATGAGTTAAATAAATAAAATTTTAGAGCGTTTTAAAATTGTTCAGCGAATATTTGACGGATGTTCAACGCGTTAAAGAATTTGGTGAACAAAATAATTGGGATATTTGTAAATATAATCCAGGCGATAGATTAATTTGTCGCGTTGAAAAATTGGGCGACCAGGGTGGGTGCCTTGTTAAATTGCCCAATGGAGCCAATGGTTTAGTTGCTCCACGACTCTGCCCAGGTACTGTTAAAACTATTATTTTTAATTATTGCTTTTTAACTTAATTTTTTCTTTATTTTTTGTTACAGGAAATCTAAAAGAAGGTCAAAATATTACGGGTGTATTTCTATCGCAAAATTTTACCAAAAATTATACGGAAATATGTCTCAAATCTGATATTTCCCAAAAAATTAATCAATATCAAGGTAAGAAAATATAATATTTTGATTTCTTTTTTGAAGTGAAACTTCTTATGATTCGCCCTGGTATGAAAAATATGAGAAATAAAATAAATTCGATTAAATTCAAAGAAATTCAAAGAAATTCAAAGAAATTCAAAGAAATTCAAAGAAATACAAAGACATACAAAGACATACAAAGACATACAAAGACATACAAAGACATACAAAGACATACAAAGACATACAAAGACATACAAAGACATACAAAGACATACAAAGACATACAAAGACATACAAAGACATACAAAGAAATTCAAAGAAATTCAAAGAAATTCAAAGAAATTGAAAGAAATTCAAAGAAATTCAAAGAAATTCAAAGAAATTCAAAGAAATTCAAAGAAATTCAAAGAAATTCAAAGAAATTCAAAGAAATTCAAAGAAATTCAAAGAAATTCAAAGAAATTCAAAGAAATTCAAAGAAATTCAAAGAAATTCAAAGAAATTCAAAGAAATTCAAAGAAATTCAAAGAAATTCAAAGAAATTCAAAGAAATTCAAAGAAATTCAAAGAAATTCAACGAAATTCAAAGAAATTCAAAGAAATTCAAAAAAATTCAAATAAATTCAAAGAAATTCAACGAAATTCAACGAAATTCAAAGATATTCAACGAAATTCAAAGAAAGACATTCAAAAACATTCAAAGAAATTCAAATAAATGCAAATAAATTCAAAGAATCTCAAAGAATCTCAAAGAATCTCAAAGAATCTCAAAGAATCTCAAAGAATCTCAAAGAATCTCAAAGAATCTCAAAGAATCTCAAAGAATCTCAAAGAATCTCAAAGAATCTCAAAGAATCTCAAAGAATCTCAAAGAATCTCAAAGAATCTCAAAGAATCTCAAAGAATCTCAAAGAATCTCAAAGAATCTCAAAGAATCTCAAAGAATCTCAATGAATCTCAAAGAATCTCAAAGAATCTCAAAGAATCTCAAAGAATATCAAAGAATTTCAAAGAATCTCAAAGAATCTCAAAGAATCCCAAAGAATCCCAAAGAATCTCAAAGAATCTCGAAGAATCTCGACGAATATCAAAGAATCTCAAAGAATCTCAAAGAATCTCAAAGAATCTCAAAGAATCTCAGAGAATCTCAGAGAATCTCAAAGAATCTCAAAGGATCTCAAAGCATCTCAAATAATTTCAAAGAATCACAACGATTTTCAACGAATCTCAAAGAAGAAAATTTGTCAAATAAAAGTTGCTCCTATTGTGATTACTTATAATTTTTATCCTAAAGATGATTTTCCTAAAATGGGCCGTTTTCGAAAAATTTCGCATAAAGTGTAAAATTTTAATCTCATGTATAATTTTTAACCCATACATGATTTTCCTAAACTCGACCATTTTTTAGAAATTTGAGGTAAAGTGCAAAATCCAAATTTTTACTCATTTTTACTTATAATACCACTAGTGGATTTTTTTTCGAATATTTTAAAAATTATTCCGATATTCTCTATAATTTTTGTTCTATACATGATTTTTCTAAAATGGACCGTAATGGAAAAAATTTAAGGAAAATCGTAAAATTTTATTTTCTCATTGGCAATGAATATATATAAAAAAATGTTTCGTGTAAGATGCGAGTGTAAAATGTATGTAATTATTCTCTAAACTATTACAGGGGTGATACAATAAGTTGTTCAAAATATTCGGAAAAGCCTGTAATAACTAGACAGGAAAGTCATGTGTGGGACACATCAGATTTTTCATTTCAGAGCGAATTCATTTAAGTTTCACTTCTATCGTGCGTTCGATAACACACACTCTTTTTTTTACAGATGGACTGATTAGTTGTCCAAATTTATCATCTTGCATAGTAGAAAATATCCTTCTTAAAACTGATTTGGTTATTGCGCTTTTAAAACAAAAAGACGGGAATAGACAGTTGGTCTATATCCCTCTATTTCTACACGAAAATGATTTTGAAGGTTGCTCGCGATATTATCAACAAGAAAAGTTTAAAATTTCTATATGCGGGTAAGGTTCTATATTTTTACTCTTTGATTCTTGTATGAAAATATTAAATTATTTTTTAGAAAAGTCGATAAACGTTTAGTTGGCATGAGCAAAAAGTTATTTGTAACTCTGGATAAAACTAAAGAGAAAATTAGTACAATTAAAGCTATTAGAACTGAAAAGAAAATTAAAGAATCAGAAAAACGCACATCACGTAACAAAGAAGAAATTAAAATGGAGGTTGAAGAGGCAGCTCAAGATTCAGAAGATGAAGAGATGTCAGAAGAAATTAAAATCGAGATGAAAGAAGAGGCAGAAGATTTGGACGACGAAGAGAAGCCAGAAATATCACATGAAGAAGTGGATGAGGATTCTGAAGATGATGAGGTGAAGCCAGAAATATCAGATGAAGAAATGGATGAGAATTCTGAAGATAACGAAAGTTGCGAAGATGATGAAGAGGAGGAACCGTCCGAGAATAATGAAACTTCTGAAGATGAAGAAATTGAAGAAGTTCAAGTTAAAAAACAAATTAATGGTGTTTCATCAAATAATTATGCAAAGGGGCCTGTCCTATCGGGTGTTAGTTCCTTTTTTAACACGAAAACTAATGGCGAACCTGAGGTGTCTTCTGACGAAGAAGTGGAAGTAAGTTTTTTAATTTAAAATTAGAGATTTATGATTCTTAACAATTTGTTCTTTTAATAATACATCCAGGTAATCTTAGTTAATAAGTAAAACTTTCTATAATTATTGTTCTTTGTAGGAAACAACGGTTAAAAAGAAAAAGAAGTTGTCAGCGGCTGAACGGGCTCAACAAGCAAAAGAAGAGGAAGCGAGAATTTCTAAAATCGAGAACGAATTGGCCGATTCGACGAGAACGCCAGAAAGTGCTGAACAGTTTGATAGATTGTTACTAGCCAATCCTAATTCATCGGAGCTTTGGACTAAATATATTGCTTTTCACACTGCTGTAAGTAAAAAACTCATTCCCGCAAGGTTACTGGTTTAGAATTTTTTCTAATAGATTTCTTAAGGTTTATCTTTTCTTTCTTTTATATTGGATGTGTCCATAATATGTTCCGTATAACGGTGTTATGGATAGGCCTTATTGGAATCCCGTAGAGGAACAATTTGGACCAGCCTGCGTTGTTTTTCATCTTTATTGATTATCTTATTGTGGACTGTATGCTAAATTCTAATTGACATAAAACACTGCTTCTGTTACAGTTCATCAAATTTCTAGAGGTGTTCGACGCCCAGACAGAGAACGCGCTACGTGTGACTAAGATAGCTATTGTACAGTCTGCTAAACAAGTTATTTTAAATAGTTTTTAATATTTTTAGGTAATTAAATTTTAAAAGTGTGGAATAGTTTAGGGATTAAATTGGTCTGATTGGACTTTCTTAGAACGTTTTTAAAAGCAGCTAAAGATATTATGTAGAATTGAAAATAATTATTATGCCATAAAAGATGTTTTGGAATTCCTTCAACCTTTTGAAATTGAGTCAGAAAATATAAATTTTATAGGATAGCGGAAAATACCTATAATTTTTTTGTAGGCCTTTGTAAATCGTGGAAATAGTTTATATTTTATTTCTACCTTATTAAGGAAAATGATACCTATTATTAATAACGGTTGTTTCTGAAACATTACTAAAATTTTCGAAATTTTGTTTTTCTACAAAATAATAAACTATACTATTTAGAAAAAAATTTATTTCTCTTATAATTTTATAAAAAATAACAGGGGAATATTTACATTTCTTGATCTATTAAACAAAACGATAAATTATCTCGACGAATGACACCATGTTCTAGTACGGAAGCTAGCTTTACATTTTTGTTGGTGGTTTCATGGGTTTCATATCAATTTTTTGTAATTGTAGTTTACACGTACATATACCTCTTAACACTTGTTTGCTTTATTAAAAAAGTGTGTTGTTGTGATTTACGTCGAAATAAGTCAAAAACAACTTGAAACCCCATATAAAATCAAAAAGGAGAAACGGAAAAAAATTGAGTCTGTAAATGAACACAACTCAGAAACAAAAATAGCTATCTAATAATAAAAAAATAAAATTTGATTCTTGTGCATCTTCGTTGTAAAAATAGATAATACTTTTTTGATCTTAGGTACAGATATAATTTTAATGGTCTTCCGAAAAACTTTCTTCAACTTCCATATCAGATTCAAAATCAGTCTCACTGTCACTGTTTTAAGTTAATTATAAATCTATCAGTTGCCTCATCCAAAGTAACTTCTCTGTCATAAAATTTAGATTCCCACATTTTAGCATTATTACAACGAGATTGCCACTCCTCTTTAGAAAACGTATCAAAAAAGTCTTCACACAACAGTTGTACGTCTTGCCTCTTAAATGTAGTGTTGTTACTAGCTACATATTGTTTCAATGATGCCCACACTAATTCGATCGGATTAAGATCCATGTTCATTTATCATTTCTTCAATTGCATACCTCTTAAATCGGGACTTATGCAATAGCACTAAACTGTATAATTGCGTTTTGAGCATATCCTCTTCGTAAGCAATATTATGATTCCTTAACCAATCCTGCATGTCAGCTTTTTTAGAAGTTGACGTTGGTGCTTTATTTACCTGGACATTATGGTAAGGAGCATTATCAACAATAATGACGCTTCTTGGAGGGAGGTTCGGAAACAGCTTTTCTTTCAACCATTTAGAAAAATTATTAAAATTCATTTCATCGTGGTAGTCTCCACTTTTGGTTCCAGATTTGAAAATTAACCGGGCATTCGGAATAAAGCCCATTTCACCTCCTGCATGGACAATAATTAGTCTATCACCTTTATTAATTGGTTTCTTTAATCCCTCATTTGAATTATCACTCCAAGCTTTCTGGTGTGTGTGGGAGGCATAAATGTATGTTTCATCTAAGTAGACAATTGGACGGCCCTCTGCTCGATAACTTTTTAAACGAATCAGATAGTCTAAACGTAGCTTTTGAATATCAAACCTTTCCATTAATATTTTTCTGTTTGTTTTCCGCCAACGAAATCCTAGCGACTTTATTATGTTTCTTAAACTTTCATAGCTTCCTTTGTACCCTGTAGCTTCTCTAAATTTAGTCAGAATTGTTTTTAATGTTGGAACAATATTTTCCGAGATTAACATGAACAGAATAATTCTTTTTAAAATACCTTTGTCAGCTTCATCTATATCATTAACTGTGTTTGGTTTTTTAATGGTTTTTCTTTGTGATGAAAATTCCGATATCTCACGGTTATCGATTCTTTTTTTCTCTCCAGAAATGCGGACGACAGTGTTTTTAGATACTCCTGTGGCTGCAGCAACACGATCATTTACATTTTTAAATGGTATTGAAGGTGAATTAAAGTTTCCTTCTCTTCTCATAAACTCTATAACATTGGCTATTATTTCGCGAGATTGACTGTTAATCACGCGGCCTCTTAATTTGCTATTAAACTCCATACTTAGGTTCTATTAAACTGTAATGAGCAAAAAACACAAAGGAAAATAAAAGAAATGTTTTAGCGAAATTTACATCTGACATTTACGTCTGAATAAAATAGTGAAATACTTGATGCGCAGAGTGTACTTTCATTGCGTAAATCCGTCGGCCCCGCCAACCGATGCCTCTCAGTAGTGCTTTCTCTGTCTAGCCGTCGAAAGCCTCTAGAAATTTGATGAACTGTAACTGGGTATAACAATAGCAGATACACAAGGGATCATGTGCTCACTACTTTCAAAAGCCACCTGTCAGTGTTTGGAACTGAAACTTGGATAAGTGGTATGAGATTCTGCTAAATGATCCAAGATGGCGGCCATAGTTTAAAAGAACGAGTATAGGTAAAAGTTTAAGAGAAAAAATCATGCGCAATGAATATGTCAAAAGGACCTAAGTGTATATCTCTATTTTTATTAGTTTGATTCAAACAGGAAAAACGGCGTTGTAAAGGAGACGTTAAAGATAAAAATAATCATGCACACTGGCAAAGCCAAAAGGGTCCAAGTCTATATCTTCGTTGCTATTGGTCCGACTTAAACGGAAAAAAGGCACTAAAAAGGAAACGTATAGATTAAGGTTGAAGATAAAAATCATGCGCAATGGTTAGTGATAGGAATGATGACGGGTACCCGGGTACCCGTTTCGCCCACGGGTCCGGGTTATACATTTTGCTACCCGTTAGAACCCGTTACGAACCGTTAGCCTGTTAAAGCCCTTCAATAATTATTTAAGATTTTAAGACCTGTTAAACCCCTCTATCTTTTTTTATCTATAGAGCTTCAGACCTGCTTCATTTGTTTTTAATTCGGGGCAGTCCTGGATTTGTCAATAGGCCATATAGGCCGCGGCCTAGGGGCGGTAGCGTCCTAGGGGCGGCAGATTTCAGAGGACGCTTACTTGATTTCAGAGAATAAAAGTCAAACAAGTTCACTGGTTTTCTCATTGTTTTTTTATACTAATACGTAAAATCCCTATAGAAACTCATTCCTATCGAAAATGATTAATCCTAGGTACCTACTGTTATTGTATCTATTTTATCTATATTACGACGATTTGGTTCAAGAATGTGTACATTTTCACAGGCACATTTTCTCTAATAAAACTACAGAGTGTGCAGTGAAGCCCGGATCAAACTCACTACTGTCTCTCAAGGTTTTTAAGGAATCAATCTCTGTCTAATGTTTACCCTAACTTGGATATAGTTCCCCGCATCTCACTTTCCACTCCGGCTACAAATTGTTCTAGGAAAATAAGTTTTTCCTATTTAAAACGCCTGAAAAATTATCAAAGGTCTTCATTGTCTCAAGAAAAAATGAATTCTTTAGCTCTTCTCTACAAAGAAGCAGAGATAATAAACACTATAAACTATGATGATATTATAGATGATTTTGCTATTAAAAAGTCTCGTAAAAAATTGTAATTCTTGTTTCTTGTTTACGCTCTTTCTTAATGACTAATTCATTCGTTTATTTAACTTTAGTGTCTTCCTTACAATATTTTTTAGATTAGGTATGTAAAATAATGTTTTAATGATTTTAAAATAGAAGTATTGAATCGATTTGCATCGTTTCGTAGAGGACAAAGAGAGAAAGGATGAATATTCTAGGAGAGACGGGTGCGGCTTCTAGGAGAGACGGGTGCGGCAAAGACAGCTTTAGTTTTCGCGTCTCAGTTCTTGATTCGTCTTATTATACACTGTGTTATAAATTATCCTTTCGTTAACTGATTTTGATCTTCTCGCTATTATTCTCATTTCGCACATTGGCTTATATCATCGTTTTATATCACTTTTTCTCGAGCATGTGAGAACGCTAAATTTAATTTAGTTCATATCAGGTAAAGTAATAATAATAATAATAATAATGTTTATTTTACTTCTTACATATATTTTTTTTTTTTTACAAATAAATTCTCTTTTAATGTAAATAAACATGGGTTAGTCCGAAAAAACCATAAGGTTGTGCTCGGAAATTACTTCTGTTTATTAGTAGCGCCATAATTGCTGATAAAAATTAATAATTATAACAATAGACTTAAGATTAATAATCATACCAATAGTAATTACAATATTAATAAATGTAAATATGTGCATTAATAATAATAATAAATAATATACATGAATAATAATAATTAATTGTACTAGCTGGCAGACTAATGATTAATTAATAATATGAACATGAGTATAATAAGAGTAGTTAATATTATTAAATTAAATACTTAATACAAATAAATATAACAATAATAATAATGCGTTCTTAATAAATATTATAATTAGTTAAAAAAATTATATAAAAAGAAAAAGCATTAGAATATAACAAAACAGAATTTTCAAGAACATGTAAAACACACATTGACAAATGAAATGTAGAATTAACAACCGAATTGTAAATTATGACAAAAAAAGATGAAAAGCATTGAACAATTTTTGATGACAACAAGAAAGCATGAAAATGATTACAC